GCGCTCCTGCGGCCGGAATCCGACCCGCAGTTGGGACCGCCGTCATCCCGCCTCCATCCCCTCCCAGCCCCTCCGTGCCCTGCCCGGCCCTTCTCCCGGGACTAAAGCTGGAGTCAGCTGCGTCCCTGTCCGCCGGCCGAATCCTGGGAGGCCTTGCACTTGAGCGGGGCCCAAGGCCTTGCCCAGCCCCAGAGCCCTCGGGAGACCGGAAGGGGCCCTAGGTCAGGGCCGGAGTGGCCGGGACCCCTGACCACAGGAAGGATCGTATAATTCCCAGGCCGACTCCGCCCGGGACCGGGGCAAGTCTAAGGGTGGCGGCAGGATGAACGAGGAGATCTCCAGCGACTCCGAGAGCGAGAGGTGAGCCCTTCTTTCCACGTGGTGGAAGCGACCCCTGAGGCCCGCGCTTTGTGGCAGTCTCCGTGAGTCGGGCGGATGCGGGCCTAGAACCCAGATCTCGGGTCCTTGGCTCAGATTTTGGCTCTAAATCCGGTTTCTGATCCCGAGAAGTCTCATCTCCTTCCCTGCAGGGTCTTTGTGTGGGGAGGGGCCCCCTCCCCCCAGTCCCAATGGGAGACCTCGAGACCTCGCTGGCTCAGGGCAGGGAGCTGAGCACAGGTGCACCGACCTGGACGGGGGGAGGGATACAAGCAATGCCGGCTCGTTCTTCATTCCCTTCCCCACGGATTCCCAGTCAGTGGTCTCCCTCCTGGCGCTCAGCAGAGGCCCGGCACCTGCTTCACTTTTGAGAGTGCAGAGAGGAGCAGGCAGTGGAGACTGAAGGTGTGGGAACGGGACTAGAATTACATTGTGTGTTCAGGGAACAGAGGAGGGGACACTGAAATTGGGCCTGGGGAGAAGTCCCTCGTGGAGAGGCAGGGAAGGCATTCGGGGATCAGCCAAGTCCGGGGTGTAAGTGCCGGACTGGAAGAGGGTGGAGGGCCCGGTGGTGGGTCCATGAAGAGTTGGCTTTTGTGCTGCCCGGAGTGTTGGCCTGTGCACCGTGGGGTCGAGGGTTTGATTCCCAACATACCTTGGTTGCAGGTTCCCAGCCCCGGTAGGGGCACATGCAGAGGCAGGCAATTGACCTGTGTCTCTCATGTCAATGTTTTTCTCTCTCTCTCCTCCCTCCCTCTCTCCCTCCCATTCTCTCTCTAAATCAATGAAAAAATATCCTGGAGTGAGGATTGAAAAAGAAAGTTGGCTTTGGAAATTCTGCTTCTAAAATTGCATTTTGTTGGCCTTCACCTGCTCACAGAAAGACTTAATATACTTTTCTTAGTCCTAAGGTTACATGGCTATGTGTGTACCAAGCCCTTTGCTAAACAGTTTGAAATGTCTTTAAAATGTGTCGTGGGCCCTGGCTGGTTTTGCTCAGTGATTAGAGCGTTGGCCTGTGGACGGGAGGGTCGCAGGTTCGATTCCTGGTCAGGGGCAAGTACCTGGGTTGCAGGTTGGATCCCCGGCCTGGGTCCGGGTGCGTGTGGGTGGCAACCAATCAATGATGTTTGTCTCACTCTCTCTCGCTCCCTCCCACTCTGTCTAAAAATCAAAGGAAAAAGTATCCTCGGGTGAGGACTAAGAACAACAATAAAAATGTGAAATGTGTTAGATACAGAAGCGTTAATGCAATGCAATGCAATGCAATGCTACAGACAGTGACGAGGACAGGATGCACCTCTGTGCACCCACCACTCAGGTTAACAGCGATTAACAGCGAGACTATTTGCAGAAACTTAGAAGTCCCAGCTGCCATTCCTGACGATGCACCTCTGCACCCACCACTCAGGTTAACAGCGAGACCATTTGCAGAAACTTAGAAGTCCCAGCTGCCATTCCTGACTGGAGCTAGGAATTTATTTGGTTTCTTCCTTCTTTTCTCCTCCTCTTTAAAAAAAAATATTTTTATTGACTTCAGAGAGGAAGGGAGAGGGAGAGAGAGAAGAAGCATCAATGATGAGAGAGAATCATGGATCGGCTGCCTCCTGCACACCCCACCCTGGGGATGGAGCCTGCAACCCCGGGCATGTGCCCTGACCTCCTGGTTCACAGGTCGATGCTCAGCCTCAGAGCCACGCTGGCTGGGCTCCTCTTTCTTCTTTTTTGTCTTCTCGCTCGGGTATAATTTGCGGGCAGTGCCGTTCACCTTGCTTCGTGTATACTTCTGTGAGTTGTGAAGATACAGCAGGGTTTCCTCTCGCGCCAGAATCCCCCAGCTCCCCAGTCAGTTCTCCTCCTGCCCCAGCCACTGCCCCTGGAGTCTTGCCTTTTCCAGAATGTCCCATGGGTGGGATCATACAGTGTGTGCTTCCCTTCATTTTCGTTTGTGTCCTGTCTGATGAGTTTGGGTAAACTGGGTAGAAGTTCTGGCCTTGGCTCTGTACTAAGGAGCGTGGTCTGGCCTTGAGGGTTTCCAAGTTCCTTCCTGGGAAAGTCATGGGCAAGGTCATGAATGAGTCCCAGGAACCCGCTGGGGGACCCTCCAGGGACTGGGTATGTGCCAGCGTGTGATCAGGGGGAACGGCTGTCCCGGGTTTTCTGCTTGAGTCCCGTGACCTTCGTCCAGCTCCCAGGAGCGAGTCAGAGGAGGGCTTGTCTTGGGTGACGTCAGGGGCAGGCAAGGAGGGGGAGCGGAGCTGCAGCAGCACGAGGGCGAGCCAAGACCATGAAGCTTCAGTGCCATCCGGTCCTCAGTTGGACGCCGTGGCAGCGAGGTCGTGACAGGCCCCACCTGTCTGCCTCAGGGCCTGGCCGCGGGTCGGGCTGGCTGCTCCCCACGGCTGGGGTGGTCGGCGGTTGCTCCGAGCTGCCTTGCTCGCCGGGTTGGGTCCCCATCCTTAAAAGAAGGAGAAAGGACTAATTCTGTGGCACTTTGGACATCGGACACTGTCGTCACTTGTCATCGATGGTGTAGCGCGTGGAATTCCAGGGCTTAGCATTTTTCTGCAGGATTTTGTGTGCGGAACGTGTCTGCCTGCTGTCAGGGTTGCTGTCGAGACGTCTGAAGCCATTTTGGCTCCTGACCCTTCATTCGTGACCTGCTTTTCTCGGGGGCCTGTGGAACCTTCCTGTTCCCTGCAGGGATGAGGGAGTCACAGTGGCCTCTGGGCTGGGGTCTGTTTTTGCGCTGTCAGGCGCTGGGTGGGCCCTTGCTAAGTCCCCTCTTGTTTTCTGCTGGTGTAAGCACTGCCCATGCGCTGGCAGGGGATGGGAGCGGTGACGGGCAGGGGGAGCAGCCAGTCCTAGTGCCAGCAGAGTGGGGTGAGCCCCCTCTAACCCAGTCCCCGCCCTCAGCCTCGCTCCCAGGAGGACGGAGGAGGAGGAGCAGGAGGAGCTGGAGGAGACCGCGCAGGAGAAGAAGCTGCGCCTGGCCAAGCTCTACCTTGAGCAGCTCCGGCAGCAAGGTGAGCCCAGAGCGCCTGCCCCTGATGGGTGACTGACACAGGGGCCCAATGGGCTGTCCTGTGTGGGGGGGTGGTCTCATGG